CCCCAACCCCAAATGGGGGGGTATTGCCAAATGATCCGGATCATCACCATCATTTTATGGGGTATTAATTAGGCTATGACAAACCTCAGGTAAATGTTTTATTCAAATCTGTTAGAAAAAAAATCCTGGATCCAAACCATGGTCCGCGTCACCACCAAAGTGCACTAAGCGTCTAAGTTCGGTTAAAACTTACCTTTGGTTAAAATCTCATTAAAATGTGTTCATAAGTTTTAGAAATATCAGAGAACACAAACAGAAAAACAACAAACAAACAACAATCGACAAACGGAAGTAACAATATAAATAAACAAAAGGTCATAGGGTATACGAAAATGATCTATATGTGCTTATATACCTTATATACATACTTTTATATCGCCATGTAATAGTATTTCGTCTTTTCACGGGCTGCGCTGAGAAAAGGACGCGTATGATAGCCGTCCGACTGGAGAACGGTTATTTTTCCGACCAATATTATACGTTGTAAAACCCCATTAGAGCAACAATAATAGGTAAATAATAGATAATTATATGATATACACGCATTTCGTACACGATTTGTCATGTAAAATGTATAAATTATGATAAGGAAAAAGATCGCGATTATTAGGTCCTTCACATTTTTACACATGGCACACGTATTTTCAGTCCCATTTTAACGTATTATGGCTCATTTTGTAGCTGAATAATAGATCTATTACATGATGCAAAAAAGATTTGCAATATTTTTGTGTGCTTCTGATAAAAGTGACATATTTTCAGTATCCCTTTTTAGGGTGTCGAGATTGTGGGCTTCGGAAAATATTCACCAAAAAAAGTAAGGTTGACTTCTAAAAAGTGGCTTCTGCATATTATAGTAGAAGGATAGTTCTATTCAGATATGAAATCAGAATAGCTGTACGATTTTTTTTGATTTTTGATAATTCTAAAAAAATGGTCAATGTAGGCCTATAGACACGAAAAATTACTGCCACCCTGCTACACTATACGAAAGAATTTGAGAAACCGTTACGTGCTGGCAATGTCCGGAAAACTTCGGAATGTAGGTAGATGATAGACAATTATGGTTTAGGAAGATTATGCTTCTCCCTCTAATTTTTCATACCACAAGGATTATGAAAAAAACTTCTATATATATATATATTCATGCAAGATTATGGACGCAAATTTATGCCAAAATAAACGTATTATGGCTCTTTTTGTAGATAAATAGTGTGTTTAGGGAATGTAGGGAGCGGTTTTCGATTTTTTTCCTGTGTTTTTTGTAAAGTTGATATATAAGTGACGAAAATCGTTTGTTTCGGATACCTGCCAGTCGACTCGGTAAAAAGAAGAAAGAAAGAAAGAAAAAAAAGAAGTCGAAATCGAAAAAAAGTGCTTCCTACATTCCCTAGGTAAAGGATGATTCTGTGTAATAAAACAATTAGAATGACTACAATTTTTTCCTGATTTTATTTTTTGTTTGAAAAATGGTAAATTTTCTTTTTTTTCGGTGATTTTTTTTTTTACTATAATTCAAAAACTGTTAGGGTGATTTCGAAAAAAAATATACCACAGAGATCAGGCTAGGGTCTAAATAAGAGGGTGTAAGTTACATCCAAATCGACAAGAAAAATCGAAAAATCGAAAAAAAAAAAGACGATCCCCTTTAGTGCTTAATATTGTCAGATCTACCAGCTTTAATTAACTGTGTGCAAAGGAGTTAAACTTTTACAGATAATAAGCACAATTAATGAAGAAAAAACAACCCTGGTCTAGTTCTCAAGGCATTAAGACAGAATTGCCGTTATTCTATCTCCCCCCTCTTCCCCTTCCCCTTCCCCTTCCCCCTTCCCCTCCCCCTCCCCTCCCCCTTCCTTCCCCCCCCCCACAGGATAGTTGCCCCATATCCCCCCCCCCATCACGACGCTACTGATTCATATAAACAAAGCCGTGAATTCACATACAGAGATACGGTCATGTATGTATATGTACTGCTGGTTGTATGTACGTATGGATATCCCATAGAATTACAAATACACATGACACGCACACAAACATACTATCATTCAAATAATCAAATAACATCACCCAGCAAACTATCTATACCTTCCTTAATTAACATTTAACCTAATTAATACCTAATCAAACAGACTATAGTTATAATTATTCCCCGTTAGTATAGTGGTTAGCCTCCCCGCCTGTCACGCGGGAGACCGGGGTTCGGTTCCCCACTGGAGAGGTTCATCGACTTTTTGCTTTTTTTGGTCGTTGAGGGAAAATGAAAGACTCGAGGAAGACAGGAAAGGGGGCGGAACGAAGGACTTAAGGAGGAGGCAGAAATAAGATTAAAATGTATATGTTTAATCAAAGGAATAGGCGTGCAAGGATATATATATATATATATATATATATATATATATATATATATATATATATATATATATATAGAGAGAGAGAGAGAGAGATAGACAGATAGATAATAGATGTATAAATGTAGGTACACACACACACACACACACACACACACACACACACACACACACACACACACACACACACACACACACAACACACACACGCACGCACACACACACACACACACACACACACACACACACACACACACACACACACACACACACACACACACACACACACACACACACACACACACACACACACACACACACACACGCACATACACACACACACACACACACACACACACACAACACACACACACACACATATATATATATATATATATATATATATATATATATATATATATATATATACACATACATACATACATAATATATATATAGAGAGAGAGGAGAGATAGACATAGATAGATAGATAGGTGGACAGATAGATGTATAAATGTATAAATGTATAAATGTATATATATGTATATATATATATATATATATATATATATATATATATATATATATATATATATATATATATACATATAATACATCAATACATATATTCATACATCTATCTAACCATCAAACTATCTACCTATCTATATATGAATTGGTCTTTACACGGGTTATTCCCTTGATTTACCATATACATTTTCATCCTATTTCCGCCAACTCCTGAAATCCTTAGTGTCCACATACCGGTCATTGTTTTCCCCACCGATTTATTTTCCCTCATCCACCAAACGAAAAAATGATCATTACTTTTCCTCGGCGGGGAATCGAACCCCGGTCTCCCGCGTGACAGGCGGGGACACTAACCACTATGCCACCAAAGACTACTTGTGAAAGTGTACGGTTCATATCTTTTTAATGATGAGTGGGAATGTTAAGGAATGCAGGGATAGCTCGGATGCTTTTATTTGTTTATTGTGTGTCTGTGTATTTGTGTGCGTACCTTGTGTATTTCTAATTTAATGGTATTTTCACACGTACATACAACGTGCAGTATATATAAATAGCTTACTAAGATTAGAATAGCGACATTTAATTCCAAGAGAACTGGACCAGGGTTGTCTTTCTTCATTAATTGTATTCTCTATTATCTCGGTAAAATTTTAACTTTGCTAGATCTGGCGATTTTAAGAACTGAAAGTAAAGTTGATAAAACAATACACTTCAGCGACATCATTAGTGACTTCATTAAGAGAATGCGAAAGTTTTTGTTTCACTCAATTGTTTGTTATTGAAATTATCACAAGTATATATAGATTTGAAAATGAGTAGAATTCATCTCCAACAGGATAAAGACCCACGACGTACGAATTATGGTCATATATATATATATATATATATATATATATATATATATTATATATATATATATATATATATATATATATATATAATATATATATATATATATATTGCGTTTGACCTACACCCTAGAATTACCTCGGGGCCCTGGCGTGAATATCTGTGATTTTGTTTTGCCATATATCTCTATTTCAAGTTCAGATAAACCTCAGCATACATGATAGATCCTTTTTGAAAATACAAAACATTCATAATGTTTCGAATTTACTTCTTCACACCATCTGGACTTGTCTCCCTCTTTCAATAAATGCTTGTCGCTATTAAGGAAGACTGTATTTTATTGGTATTAGAATTAACAAGTTCATTAACATCGTAGCTTATTGCAGTAAATGCAAAAGGCATGGATGTGAATGCATGATTCCTGTATGCAAGATGTGTTAATAGCGTATCGTTATTACTTTTTCCATCAGAATAATGTAAATCTGACGAAAATAGAGTGAATTTTCCAACAAAAATCAAACCAGAGAGCTTGATAGAAAGCAATTGGCGTCCTAATTACAAATTCAGTGGTTACTCCAAAACTACCCTTCGTCCCCTAAGCAATCACGCTAAACCGAAGAACTCTTTCCCGCAGAAGGGACCAGGACGAAGACAGCAGTTCCTCCCGAGCGTTAAAAAAGTTCCAGGACGCGAAGGAGCACCATGAGCGGGGCAGGCGACGAGGAGGAAGGGGGCGGGAAGTCTCCGCGGTCTCGAAGTCCAGCCATGGGGGTCTCCGGCCTCCTCCGGGACCACCAAAACAAGGTCTGTAGGCAAAGGCGTTGGGTCTTTGCGAAGCTTCGTGATGGTTCGTGTTTTCCTTGATTTTTTATTCGATGAAATCTGTAGACAGTAAGAACGTTATTTATTTATTTGTCTTGATTTCTATTGTAATATTTAGCTGCGTTAATCATAGGCTCTAAATGCATGAATTCTTAAGTCTCGTTTGATATAAGGGCAAATGATTCAACCCTAAAAAATAAGGCACGCGACTTTTAGGTAATCCCGCTCTTTCACGTCACCATTTCCTTGAACCTTTATATTTCAAAGAATAAACACGTTGCTCATGGAAATCTAAAGCTCGTCATATTCCACAAAAGACTGATTCTATCATGGAAACATTATCAAAATAAAAATCTTGAGAGAACGAAACAATAATGAGTCATTAAGAGAATAAAAGAGAGGCAATTATAACTTTCAAACGAAATAATACCACGTGTACGCTCGCTAATGATTCATGTGCATGCTAATGTGTTGAAATTCAATAATGACACTGAGGTTAACGCACATAAACACGCGGGCAGACGCACACATACGTACATAATTTATTTTCTAATCACGGTTATTTACTGGTACTCATTTTCATTAATCATTTTTTGTGGAAGAACCAGCTTTTCCAAGATAGAGAGAGAACATAATTTACGTTATTTGCTGGTACTAATTTTCATTAATTATCTCCAGCTTCTCCGAAATATTTCCACTCATGACGAAGCCCTCCTTCTGCAGGCAGGAAGCGAGGACGAAGGGCGCAGAGGATCAGCCCCAGGAGGACCCGGGACAGGAATCCTGCGGCTGGATCCTGCCAAGCCAAGGAGGTCCTCGGCCGCCTCCGTCGAGTTCAAGACAGACAAGGTTACGTTTCAGTTAACCTTCTAATCATTACACATAATTTGTTGCCCACTGATATATATATATATGTATATATATATATATATATATATATATATATATATATTATATTGTATGTGTGATTCATTCTTTTAGGGGGATTAAACTAACATTCCCTATTTCTTATCTATTTAAGATTAAAATAAAGATAATTATTCTATAACACTCATTTTACATATCTACTCTTGATATGTCATTCTGACCTCAAGAAAAGAATATCCTCGATGAAATCAAACACACACACACACACACACACACACACACACACACACACACACACACACACACACACACACACACACACACACACACACACAACTCCCCTCCTGTGTATGCGTGTTTCCATAGAGTATAATACCAATATAATACCCCCTCCCCAGGACGACCCCTCCTCCCCGTGCCCTAGCGACCGGCTGAGCGTGACCTGGGCTGACGGGGAGAGGTCAGTATCCAGTGACGGCGTGTCACTGGCTCCTCGAACTCCTGTGTCGTCGGATCAGCCGTCAATTAATACGCTTATTCCAGGTTGGTGGTGTGGTGGGGGGAGGGGGGAGGGGTATCGTGCTGTGGTATTTGGTGTTTTTTGTCTTTTTAAGCTTGTTTTTTGATTTTTGTGTGTTTTATTGATTTTTAAAGACTTTCTTTATCATAGGAGGTGGTTTGTGGTCTTGGTTGCGTTTTTCATTGATGTGCTTTGATTATTTTTCTCAAGTATCTTGTCGTTGATTTATTATTATTATTTTTAAATTTCTTTGTGTGTGCGTTTTTGATTGCTCTTTTTATTTGTCGTTTTCAAGTATTTCCTCTTACTGGCGTTCGTTCATTTACTTTCTCCATATTTTAAAAATATATTTTCCTCTCTTTAACATTTCCACTTTTTCACTTTCTCCGTCTGCCCTCATTCTTCCAAAACTTTTTATTTTATTTATCCTTACATTCACACTCCTTAGACTTTTTTTTTATAGGAGGTGGTTTGTGATCTTGACTGCATTTTTTATAGTGTTTGATTATTCTTCTCAAGTATTTTGTCGTTTGTTTATATTCAATTCATTTTTTTTTGTTTATTTTTTATTGCTCTTTTTATTTGTAGTTTTCAAGTATTTCGTCTTCCTGGTTTACGTTCTAACCACGCTTATTTGCTGTACTATCATTAATTTTGTCTATTGTAGAAGAACCAGCTTTTGGTTCTTTTTTTCATCAACTTCTTATATTTCTTTAAACATCTCTTTAACATCTTCTCTTTCACTTTTCCATCTCTCCCCTCATTCTTACCAAACTTTTTTATATTCTTACATTTACACTCCTTATAATTTTTATTCCAACCTTTCCCCCCCCAAAAAAAGGAAAACCAGAAAATAATATCAATTGATTTTTCCACTCCCTTTAAGAAAACATCTATAAGAGCAAAAAATCGATTCCCCACCCACCAAACAAAAGAAAAAAAATGGAACAAAAATTGGACTCAAAGATGGAAATTTTCTCATTTCACATCCACACAATAAGAAAAATTAAAAACGAAGCAAAACAGAAATTTTAATATTTCAATTTTCATTCCCCATTCCAGACCCTCCCTCAAAAAAAGAGAAACATCCCTAAAACGAAAAGGATATTATATTCCCATTCCAATACCATCCCCCTAAAAAATCCGAACGAAAAAGTCCTCAACATTCCCGCTTCCAGATCCCCCCAAAAAAAAAAAAAGAAAAAAAAAAAAACGAAAATACCAAAAAAAAAAAAAAAAAAAATTCCCATTCCCATTCCTATCCCTCCAGCGTGCGGTAGCCTGATGGAGGAACCGGCCGAGGACGACGAATTCTGTGCCAGCGTGTCGGCCATCCTCAAGCGCACCGAATCGAGGACTTCCCGACGGGGTTCCCGAAGGAGGAAGAAGATGAGGAGGACGTCCACCATGACCAGCAGTTCCGGCGAGTGAGTGAAGTGGTGGGAGAAGAGAGGGAGGGAAGGAGGAAGGAGGAGGAGGGAGGAGAGGAGGAAGAGGGAGGGAAGGAAGGAGAGAGAGGGGAGGGAGGAGGAAGGAGGAGGGAGGAGGAGGAGGAGGAGGAGGAGGGAGTGAGAGGGAGGGAGAGGAGGGGGAGGGAGGAGGGAAGGGGAGGGCGGAGAGGAGAGGGAGGGAGAGGAGGACGTCCACCATGACCAGCAGTTGCGAGTGAGTGAAGTGTGGAGAAGAGAGAGGGAGGGAAGAGGGAAGGAGGAGGAGAAGGAGAGGAGGAGGAGGGAGAAGGAAGGGAGAGAGGAGGGGAGGAGGGAAGGAGGGAAGGAGGGAGAAGGAGGGAGGAGGGAGGAGGAGGAGGGAGGGAGGGGGGAGGGGGGAAGGGAGGGAGGGAGGGGAGGGAAGAGGACGTCCACCATGACCAGCAGTTCCGGCGAGTGAGTAAGGGGAAGGAGAGAGAAGAGGAGAGAGGGAGGGAGGGAGGGAGAGGGAGGAGAGGAGGAAGGAGGGAGGAGAGGAAGGAGAGAAGGGAGGGGAGGAGGCAAGGAGGAAGGAGGGAGGAAGGAGAGGGAGGGAGGGAGGGAGGAGGGAGGGAGGGAGGAAGGAGGGGAGAGGGAAGGAGGGAAGGGAGGGGAGGAGGACGTTCCACCATGACCAGCAGTTCCGGCGAGTGAGTGAAGTGGTGGAGAGAGGAGAGAGGAGGGAAAGGAGGGAAGGAGGGGAGGAGGAAGGAGAGGAGGAAGGGAGGGAAGGGAAGAGGAGGGAGGGAGGGAAGGGGAAGGAGGAGGGAGGAGGAGGAGGACGGAAGGAGGGAGGGAGCCGAGGGGAGGGAGGGAAGGAGGGGGGAGGGGAGGCATGACCAGCAGTTCCGGCGAGTGAGTGAATGGGAGAGATGAGAGATTGGGAGGAGGGAGGGGAGGGAGGAGGAGGAAGGAGGAGGGAGGGGAGGAAGAGGATTGAGGAGGAGGGAGGGAGGGAGGGAGGAGGGAAGAGGAAGAGAGGGAAGGGAGGGAGAGGAAGGAGGAGGGAGGAGGAGGAGGAGGGAGGGAAGAGGGGAGGAGGAAGGGAGGAGGAGGAGGAGGAGGGATCATAACTGCAAAAACATACACGGCAAAAATAACCAGTCAACTACCTATAAACGCGAAAACAACAATCGTATAAGCGAAACAACCACAAAAGCTCCTATCTCTTTACCTCTTTATTATTCTCTATTTTCCTTTACAGCGGAAGTACGATCGTGGACATGGAGGGCGAGTGGTGGAGACCCTCAGGATCCACAAGGAGGTCCTGGCGGGGGTGAAGCACCAGCCCTGGCCCATTGGCAGGTAAGAGGGGGTGGGGGGGGGGAGGGTTGAGGGCGAGGGAGAAAGTATATTCGAAACGGTTAAATACTACACTTATGTTGTGAATATATGTATTATCATCATCAATAACAATATCCTTCGCAATATCAATAACATCAACCCCCCCCCCCCCAAGGAAGCTCCGTCTCGCGCGATCGGCTCGCTCCTACATCCAGCGTCACGAGGGGGAGCTGGAGGAGCGCCTCGCCCAGAGCACCAGCACCAAGGGTTCCTCCTCAGATATTTCATCCGCGCCAGGAGGGTGAGGAGGGAGGGAGAGGGAGAAGGGGTAGAGATACATAGAGGGATAGAGAGAGTGGGTGAGTGAGTGAATGAGTGTGAGTGTGTGAGTGTGTGAGTGTGAGTGTGTGAGTGTGTGAGTGTGTGAGTGTGTGTGTGTGTGTGTGTGTGTGTGTGTGTGGTGTGTGTTGTGTGGTGTGTGTGTGTGTGTGTGGTGTGAGAGAGAGAGAGAGAGAGGAGAGAGTGAGTGAGTGAGTGAGTGAGTGAGTGAGTGAGTGAGTGAGTGAGTGAAGTGAGTGAGAGAGAGAGAGAGAGAGAGAGAGAGAGAGAGAGAGAGAGAGAGAGAGAGAGAGAGAGAGAGAGAGAGGGTGGGGTAGGGAGGAAGCGAGGGAGATAGAGATAGAGATAGGAATAGGTAGATAGATAGATAGAGAGATTGGTGGATGTATAAGTGCGAATTTGCGAGTGTGTGGTAGATTAGTTTCCCTGGATGAATAGGGAAGAGCTAGTGTATTTTTGACCCATTTTTTTTTTTTATTCATTCATTTATTATATTTTTTGTCCGTTGCAGTCTCGTTAAGGATTCAAGTTTCGGCTTCACGTTTCGGAACACGGTTTTTGTTCCTTGTTTTAGGAAAAGTGTGATTGATCATTATTTCCAAAATTCGTTATTGACGCCACTTAAACCCCGTTGACAGGTGGTGCGGGCGGGGGCGCGGGCGGTGTACGTGTGGGTGAGGGGGATCGAGCCGTGGCAAGGCCGTATCAAGACGATTGAATCCTATTTCGGGTCGGCGGTGGCATCCTACTTCACCTTCCTGCGCTGGGTCCTCGGTCTCAACATCGCCCTCACCGCATTTCTCACCGCATTCGTCATCATACCTGAGGTAGTGTGTTATTTTCTCGCGCTTGGTTTATTTTATTTTCTCCGTTCATAGTTTTTTCGAGAACCAGTTGGTTGAGGACTAATGTTGAGTACTTCGTTTTTGTTATATTATCGTGCGTGCTTACTATCGCCTTTTTTTTCAATTTTTTCTCTTCTCCCTTTTAGTCGCATTATCTTCCCTCGTGATTTTGTGATCACCTCTTAAAGGTTATAAAGCACAACCTCCTCAAGGCAAATTCTCTCTTCTAAAACACTGACTGACTCCCCTCCTCCAGTTCTTGGCGTCTGACAGGAGCAAGGCTGGGGAGAGGAAGAGCCTCCTGCCAGACGAAGTCATCAGCGCCTATGACTTCAAGGTGATGTGGGACTTCGAGGGTATCCTGAGGTATTCGCCCATCTTCTACGGCTATTATAGCAAGACTCCCAAAACTAGGGAAGGCTATAGGCTACCTCTCGCGTACTTCCTCACCTCCGTTGCTGTCTACGCCTACAGCTTCGTGGCGATTCTCAGGAAGTGAGTAGTTGTAAGAATGAAGCTTGAGGATGGCAATGTTTTGCTGACTTATCACGGAATTTGACTTGGTGAAGGCAATTTTATTTGCATGTGGAAAGAAGCTTGCTCTCACGTCCCTTTTCCGCAGGATGGCCGCGAACTCCCGGATGTCGAAGCTCGCCGACGACGACGAGAGCACCTTCACGT